ATTCACCAAAATTAGTAACAAATTGAACGAATAGTGACATAATTTTATGCAAATTCTGGAAAATGTGAGAAATATGAGATGCGAAATTATTCTATTCACTTGAAAATAATATTATATCTACATGAACATATGATACTCACTCACTTTCTTAAACATTGTTCTTAAATACTTGATTGCTTCTTTATATACCTTTCGAAATTTTTTTATGTCGAACTAGAATGTACCGTCCATTTCCGAATTATGAAAATTTCACTGACTCTATACTGTATGAACATCATTATGTGTGTGTATTCATTTCAGTTTTATTACTCATCATTATATTGATTTGTAAAGGAAAATGGGTGATTTTGTATCTTCAATTTTATTGTTTTCCTATAATATTTTTTGTTATCTGCTTCAATTCAAATTGAACTTATTAATGTCATTTCCGGAAAGAGTTTACAAAATAAAAGAGTTTTTCTTATGAGTACGTTTCCCCTTTACATACCTATATGTATGTATATACAATTTATTTACGTATATACCTAAACATACCAAAATCATAATTTTATCTCGAATAAATTGAACTATAACAATTAATACAATATTCTATATAATTTAATTGCAATGCAAATATGAAGTTTCCTTTAGAAATGACATTCGTTTTAAATAAATTAACAGACAGCTTTAATTTAATCAAACTTAATACTATTTAAAAGTTGTCACACTGCCAGTAAGTCAAACATTAATTAGCGCACAAAAACATTACAATTATTGTTTCGATGTACAAAATGCATCAATTAAAGAAAGAGAAAGGAACAATGACGATTTGGTAGAGATCTGAGTATATTCTAATACGAGATATGTCGAGCCATTTTTTGGTTATTATTATTTTAGAAAATACAACCAATTTTTAAACTTTTTACATACATAAGGTTTAAAATTAGCTTGGATTAAGCAATGTGCTTCTGAATAAAATCATATTGTAAATAAAATGAAGTCCAAACAACAAAACGAAAAATGAGAATAAATTTCGAAATGGAATAGGTAGTCAAAGCATTAAAGAACAAATATGTATGAAGTTCCATATAGCTTTAATATCATTGATATATATTTAGTCTATTACTTTAAATTGACCCAGTTTCGTTTGCCATTTTACCATATGAATAGTTTGACACCCGAAAAAACACTAACATGAAAGTTATTGCATATTTTATCAAAATTACCAATTTGTAAAAGCATGAATAATTTGACTCCTGTGGATTTTTTTATTTAGTTGTACCTGAAATCTTTTACGAATGATTTGGGAAAATAAACGGATTTATCAACACTTTTTTGTTTGAAATTACAAATTGAATAATAAGATTGAACCACCATAGGCAAAACAATCACTACTGTTCATCGCTATTACTATGACTATATGAACGGAAACGATTAAAACAAAGATCAAATTTTGCATTGCAATTTTTCTGTATTTTTCTTAGTAAAACCACGCAACGCAATATTTGTTTCTCTGTCATAACTGTTATTTTTTGTTTTTTTTTAACTTTCGAAAATTGTACTTTTTTTTAAAGTCCATTTATTAAACCATATATTATGTAGGTACTTAATTTTATTATAATATTCAAGCATATATCCACTATAAAGGTCTCGAATCGAGACACTGTTTTTAATGTTATTAATTACAGTTGATATTTTCCGGATATAACAATTTATTTTTACAGTACTTGATTAAAAATACTTTTTAATAAATGGAAATTCAACAGTAAATTTCATCAATTTTAAGCATTGATTCAACTGCACTTAAGAACTTCTTGAATTGTGAATTTTCTATTGAAATACAAACCATCTTTTCTTCAAATACAAAAAAAAAATTCAAATTTATGCAAATTAATCGTGAAAACTTTTTCAAAATCAATCTTAAAAACAATCAATGAAAATTTATATTTTTCTCAAAACTTCAAAATTCACTTTTAAAACTTTTCTTTTTCCCCCAAGTATAAATATTTTCCTATAATTTTTCAATCTAAATTTTCCGGAAAATAATGAACCTTTTTTTTTTGTTTTGTTTGTTAAGGATCCTTCTATAAAATGAATAAGTGAGTCAACAAAAGCAGAAAAAATAGGAAAACTTATTTGTATAATAAATTTCATTTGTTTCCAATGTATAGAAAAAAAGAAAATCTTTTCAACTTGTTTTCACTTTCTATTCAATGATTTTTCAACAACATTGAAAAACTTATTAAAAAAAAATGTGTAGACCGCCATCAAAAGCAAATAACAAGACCGCAAAAACAAAAAAGAATGTGAAAAACGAAAATAGGAGAAAATGGAACATTTACCTTCGTCAATATCCTTTTGTTCTCTTATTATTTATACCCTTTTTAAAAATCTTTAAATTTCAAAGACCCTATTAGAAAGCAAGTTGTAATTTCTTTTTTATTGAATTCTGGCTATGTTGCTGCTATATATATATGTACATCGTTCAATACATATGTATGTATATAATATACATACTTTTAATGGTTGGTTTTTAAGCATCCTCGTGTTGCATTTCCCATGTTAAACCCTATATATATAGAAAAATATGAAAGTGTCCGAACCATGTATGAATAAAATTAAGAATCGATAAAAATCTTTTGTTTTTTTCAACTACACTTGCATTTACCATTGATTTGCATTAAAAAATAAAATTTCATGTATGAATAAATTATATAGGTATATGTATGTGAGGTATATATATATACATAAATTAAATCCGATATGCATTATTTTGTTTTTAATAATTTAAAACACATCAATGTAAAGCAATCTTTAAAAATTTTTTTAGTTTAAGACAACAGAAACAGGAAAAAAACTATTAAGAGTGTCGAGAAATAAAAAATTTAAATTTATTTGATAAAAAAATTTTTAAAAATTTGTTAAAATAATTTTTTTAATATTTGTTTGAGTCATGCATAATACCGTAATTTTTTGCATACAATTACATTTTAAACGTATATAGTTAATCTAGATGACAATTCTAAAAAATTTTATTCGGTCTTGTATTTTATTTGATATTCGACAAATTATGGCAAAGGCTTGTAATAATAACTCGAGTGAGTAAAAAATATTATTAATCATATTTACTGTATGCCCTATGTCGAACATCAAATACGCCGGATCAATAAATTACCTATATAACCGGCGAGGTGGTAGTAAATTTTACACCTTCCGATTTTTCTTTTGTAATTACTTTCTTATTTCTCTCTCGCACTTTCACATTCTTTCTACTTTCACACTGTTTTTTGCTCACTTACTCATGGTGAATTTTGTTATAACGCATACTTACTGAAAAGTTAATGAGGGAGAGAGGTGTAATAATTAATAACAACACGAAGAATTTGTTAAAAAACTTTACCTCGTACTTTAAAAGTTAAAAATATTGTAGTTCATTAAATTATTCGGCAAATCGTATCTACAATCAGTTTTCAAATTGTACGAGTATTTCATGAATTTATTTATAATACGAATTTATTATAACTTCCTTTTATTTTTCTACTCGAAGTTGACTTGTCTTGCCAGACACAACTTCGAGTAGAAAAATTTTTCTACTTCCTTACCCTTTGAATACCTAAACGCATTATAAGAATTAAGTATACTTATTAAAATTTTATGTAAGATATATGGAAGACCGAGTTTATGAAATTTGAATTTGTCTTTTAGGTAGCAGTGATTTTGCAGGCCGAATTGTTTTTCATAATTCTAACAAATAAAAATTATTCATTTGTGATGTTCAACTATTTTCAACAGGTGGCATTCGGGCACTAATTTACTAAAAATATTCATTATTGTTTTTTCGATTGTCGCATACAAAAATCTATATAGGGACTCTGAGTGTCTATGTATTCTTGCATATAGACGTATGTACATTAAATTTTATTGCGTGTATAAAATGTTATAAAATTTTTTTTTTTTGTATTTAAAAGAATTTCAAAAGTTTTTAATTTTGACCTATTCAATAAGATTTCGCGTAAAACAAACATCGTCGGTGTATCAAATAAAAAAACTTCAAACCACTCATATGATAAAGCCATTTTTTTCTCCAGCCTTCTCATATAATACAAACATATAATATTGCACTTTTTATTCAAGATATTGAAAACGAAAACAAAACGATAAAAAAACAAGATCTTAAATAAAATTTAATTGGCTAAATTCAATGTTTATACTCGTATAGATTCAAATACTTTTCATTAATAGAAAAAACAAAAAAAAAAATACAAAAAGTTCCTAAACATGAATGCTGTTAAAAGTATGCACGTGCCATAATATAAAATTTTCCATCGTTTGTGTGGTTTGAAAATAATGTGATGCAAACATTGTTCGATCGGAATTAAAATATTTTTTTCGTATCCAAACACATGCCTATGTATACATATGTAATACTATTTAAAACTAAAGAATAGAGAAAGAGTGTTAAAAACTTAAAACTTTAAAATACTTGAGTTACTTTTGGAATCTTACAAAAAAGAAAAATTTCGAACATTAAAAACAGTTGTAAATTTTATTTAGATTTCTTACTTGTATATTCTTGTGACCCAAAATAGATCAATGTAACTAGATTTTGAATTAGTGGTGTAAAGGGTGCTTTTTTTTAAATTTTGATTTATGGCTGAGATCAAAGTGTGTTGTCCACTGGTTATTTGATAAATTTATGTTGTTTTTATTGAAATTGTTTCGTCATTCCAAAACTAGAATGCAAAATTTCAAAATTTTATATTGAACAACTGCAACCATGTTAAAAGTTCACAATTTTCCGTGCTTAATGCACGTATTTTAACAAGACTAGTACAGTTGCTTTTATGGAGACCGGTATTCAGTCATGATGTGGGTGATGTGCAATTTTAACAAGATGGTGCCGTACTTCGAACACACTTCGATTTTTTTTGTTTTAAGAAATAAATTATTTACAAATTGATCACATAATTAAAGCGAAAATTGAAGGAAAACCAACCTTTTATAGAACTTCAAATATTTACTGAATAAAGCGAATAAACCGATTGTTATTGGATTTTCGGGGAACAATGTCAGGCAAACTTTTAACGAATTGTTAGCTATATGAGACGCCATATTCATCGGCTGAAAAACGGTCGGATTTTTTTTTTATATTTCAGCGTCTCTTAACAGGAGTTCTCCCGGCTTTACTTTTGAAAATTGAATTGAAAACTGCCTAAAGTTACTTATATCAAATAAAATCAATATTTTGTTGCTTTTAAGCTCATAATCAAGAAAGTGTGATGGCTATTTAAAAAAACAGCACCCAGTACGTATATTTGAATGTTACTAACGTATAAACTAAAATATTTAATTGGAATTAAAAAAAAATACAAAAATTTATTCGTGTTAATTGCATAAAACCTACGCTCATAAACGTGTAAATTTTTATGTAAATTATATGTATTTGTGCTACTGAACATGGAATGCACTCACTTACATATAAAACAAATTTAAAGTATGTATGCGTATGAAATCCAACTGCAAAATGTGTACATTATTTATAATGTATATAGTTGCCAGGAGTGAAAACAATTTATTTATTGGTAAATTGATATTTAATTGAAGGGTTTTACGTTTTATTTACATTTACATACGCACACATATGAAAATATTGATTTTATTTTTGATGCTTAAGGCAAAGGTCACCAATATACTATTTTATATCGTAGGTATACTCGTGCTAGACAAATGTATGTAATACTGTTGTTTTGTTTAACATTGTTTTGCATTATTCTTGTGCTTCCTACAACTTTAAAGCTGAAGTAGTACCGTGTTAATGCACATTTCAAGTTGTATATAGGGCATTAATAATTTATTACTGCAATTTGTTATTTAAAAACAATTCAATTTAATATGAAATTTTGAATATTTTATGCATTTAATTTATTCCAAATATTTAGTAGGTCTCCTAAAGAGACTTGGAATACAATAATTTTATATGCAATTGTAATTCAACAATTCATTAATTTTTAAATCGAAAGAAAGAAAAAGTGAGTACGAGTATACACTTTTAGACTGCAAGTCTATTCTTTTCAAATAAAATTTTAACACAAAAACTCTTCAAGTTTTTTTTTAAGTCAAGGTATTTGTTATGGTCAAGGTATTACATAAATTACTTATGGTACACAAGTAATTTAAATGATGAAAATTAAAATTGCAATTTGTGATATTTTTTTTCAAAATTTTATTTTAAATTTGGAAAACAACTGAAGGCATTTGAAAATCACTAATTCTACATTGAATTTGGTGTTATTTTTCAAAAGATTGCAAATGATTTAAACACTTTGAATACCAAGATCGTAAAACCCGATACGTAATACACGAAGCTTGGTAGGTATTAATTTCGCAATAACTACGGAAATGCATTCTTTATTTTTGAAGGAAACTAAATTTGTTCCATTATTTTTGAAGGAAACCAAGGGTAGTTGATTACATATAAAAAACCATATCTGCTTCAGAATCATATTGAGATTTTGAGGCTGTTTGTTGATTCATCTAGAATGTTAAATTGCCACTGTTGAAAAACCGACATTAAATCCGAAATTATTGTTGCCGAAAAAGAAAACGTGTAAAATAATATACAATGTCTTTAAATTATTCCACTTTTATTTTCAATAAATTCAATTTTTAATTTAAAAATTTTCATCCGAATTATGAGAAAACTTAAAAATTCATAATGAATTTTTTTTAATGAAAAATTTTATCGATAAACTTAACAACGTAATGTAATTGTTACAATATTAACTGGACTCACGGGAAAAATTACCTAAAAGGAATAAAACAGAATACCAAATATGGTTAACAAAAACCTGACAAAACATCAATCATTCCTATATACAAAAGTAAATGCAATATTGAGTTCAAATAATGTCAAATTCTTAGAATTGCAATCCGCGTATTATTTCAAATATAATGTTTTAATATTAATGATCTCTTCATTTTTTTCAAATTTAAAGTAACAGAAATAAAAGTAGAAAACGCCAATGTTTAACATTCTTTTATTAAGTTCAATGGAGAGTTATAGTGAAGCACATAGAAACCTTATGGTGCAAGTTATTTATTGTAAATGTGTAATTAATAACCACCTTAGATGATGATGTAAGTATAAGAATCAGAAAACAGATTAATCAAAAGTTTTTTCTTAATGAATGGTTAGACAGATTTGTTTTGTATATTGTGTATTATGTTAATAATATAGATTTGTATATTTACAACTACATTTTGAAGGTGAAACTTTTGTTTCATTTCACAAAAAACATTTAGAATTTTAGCAAAATGGCATAGAAATTGGTGCATTCCGTTTGCAGGAATGTAATATACTCCATAACTAGTTTGGTGTAGTTGGGAGCATTTCGTAAACTGAACGTCTTTTACAAATCAATTTATGTAGGAGTAAAGGCAAACTAGAATATTGCAATTTTTACATTTATTTTCTCTTTTACTCCTTGGGTTGCGTGGATTAGACCTCAAGATTAATGAATATTTAAAAAAAATTTTCGTGAGGCTCATGAAATTCGAAAATATTGTCGAAAACTCAGTTTCTAAGCAAAGAACATATCACATTGATGCAACTTTGATTGAATAACCTTAAATTTAGTTTTGTTTTTCCAAATCTTCTTCAGACAAGAGATAGCTTTTCGGTAGACAAATTCGGTTTACATAATATTATATTCTTATTCTTAATTATTGTCTAACGACAGACTATCCGAGCTTATTGAGCTATATGGCCTTACTAAGGTAGATATCTTAAATATTCCGAAATTCTCTATAATATAATACGAGTATTAATATGTAGTTCCAGATTTTGGGAGAACCAAAAGAAAACGAACAACTTGACGCCATAGTTTTATTTATTTTGAATAAGTTATATTTGTGTAACACCAATAAATCTTTTAAGAACCCAGAAACTGCTTATAAAATTTCATTTATCCTTCATTGAAAAATATAGGGTATATTTTTGGTCTGGTATCATGTGGTGCGTTTGTGCGTAAAACAAGGAATTAAAGTCAACATTTCTATTTTTCAAAAGTTTTTCAAAAATAAGAGTTATAAAAAAAAAGGAAAAATCCGAGTAAATTGTAAAACAACAAACTAAAAAAAAATAAGAAAAAAAAAGTAAAAAAAAAATGCCTTTAAATATTTTGCAATGTGTACAACAACGTTCATTTAAAAAATAAAAGCACTAAGGCGGCAAGATAAATAGCGAATTGATTCAAATCGAAATAATAAATCTCAAAGGATTTATAAATCGAAAAAGAAATATTGTATAAAAATTTATTATCACATTCGTTTTAAATTTTTATAAAAATTATTTTTATATCGCATAGTATGTATTTGATTTATGCTGGACAACAACATATTATTCCATATCATAAATAATATCAAAATGCATACATTATTCACCATTGGTTCAATCTAGAACAGAATAAATTTTCAAAAGATAACAAATATATTTTATGTACCTATATAAGCCTTTGAATCATTACAGCATTTAGAAATTCTTCAACAATGTGTACGTGTACATTGTACATAATATTATGCATTTCAAAAGATTTCTTTTCAGATAAAACACGAAACTAAAATGTAAGAAAAATAAATTTTAATGTTATCCGAAAACTTAGTAAAAATACTTTTATCGCTCTATATATTATATACCCTACATTCAATTTGGAAACGTGGTACTAGCATAGCATAGTTATTATTACACACATAGTTAAAAAATTCAAGTAATATGCATTTGAACGGTTCAATAAATTAACTTGTGTTGGTCCGATTTATTAAAATTTCTTTAGACTCATTCATATTAAATACGCGGCGGCGATCCCTATAATTTAAGGTGTCCACTGAATAAGATTAGAAAAGTTACGATTTCTGTAGAATTAAATTCAAAATTGCTTTTAGAAAGTAATTTCCAAAAATTTTGTAGTTTAATTTGGTGCCATTGTCATTGTTTTTTAGTTCTTTTATAACAAAATATTGAAGGATTTGTGAGTGAAGTTGCTAATGAACTAGCCTAGTATATGTGACATAATTGATTTTTATACGTAGCTATTTCTTGTAAATGCTTGTATAGAAAAATGTGATCATTATTTCGGAAGACTTCTTACAATTTAAATGCAAGCGAGCTTCACTAGAAAGGGCCGTATTACAAATGATGGCATCTAAAAGGATAAATATTTTTAACTATACTTAAGAAACTATATTTAATTTTTATTAGTTTTTATCAATCATTTGCATATTTTATTATTCAAATTGATAAGAAAAATGCGCTAATAGCGGTGAAAATTAAAGAATACTCGTATCTATAAAAATTGCAAAAATCTTTTAATATTTGCTTTTATTTTTTTCCCTTTAGAAGCACAAATTTTTTTAATCATACATTTTTTGAATGCATATATTAAACAGGGCCCTATTGCATCAACTATCCTTTTGAATTTTTTTTTAAATTATTTAATCAAAAAATGTGCAAAACTTCTGTTGCACCAAGGGTCAAAACACTAATGAACTATACAAATAGCAAAAGTACTTTTGTAAATAGAAAAAGCAAAATTAAAAGTTGTTGGTGCAATAGGGCACAGGTGGAACGGAAAAACTAAAACAAAACAGAAATTTAAAAACTAATTCGTTTTTAATTTGATTGCATTAATCTTTAGAATTAGATTTACATTTTAGTTTTTAATTTCTTTTATACATAAAGGTACTTAATGCATTGTAGTTGTTATCAATGATCAATGGTTTATTATAGGTAATTGAGAATTTAAATGGTCTGCTATTGGAATATGGGAACAATTTTGAATTACAATTTAAGAAAAAATGGTTTATATAGTTTTGCTTTTAACACTTGGTGTCCTTATGTCGGCCGGATGCTTTAATTTAATAGAATTAAAGGCATAGTAATAGAAGATACAAGTAAATTTGTCGCTCTATATATAAACCAAAACAAGTCGGAATAAGTGCATTGCGATTCTCAAAAAATTGGAGATTTAATTTTTCTACGATTTTATGTTACATCAAACAAAGCAATACTCACAACATAATGGATTTTAAATTTTCACTATTCTTTTAATTTCTAA